CAATATTACTCGGAGTTACCGGGATATAAGGCAAAATGTAATAATTGCGGCGTAACATTGTCCTTCTTAAGAGATGTTGGATCTTTACGAAAACATTTAAGAAGACATTCCACAAGAATCCAGAGTCAAGATGAGTAAGTATACAATCAAAAAATTATTAAAATGCTAGAGATTATAAAATAAATGTAATGATAAAACAATCAGTAACTGAAGAAAATTGAGTAAATAATAGTTTTTATCGGGGCATCCATATAATATTTATATGCAATTTTGATCATAAATGTGCATATACATCTCTGGTGCGTTTTTTATTTTTTTTTTTTTTTATATGTTTAAAGATCTGTACGCGCAATCTGATAATTATGCAAATTTTAACTATATATCCGTATAAACATACATTTTAATAAACTAAATGTGTCTTTATGACCTTTGTAAGAAATTCTATAAACGCTTGTTGATGCGATCGCTGCACCACATTTAGTGTCAGACAATCTGTATTGCAGGACGACACCGACAAAAAAACGCAGCAAGTTATGGAATTATTTCGAGGAATTGAATCCTTCGCTGGTAAAGTGCACGACCTGTAAAAAAGAAATTAAGATATCTTGTCCATCAAACCGTACACCAATATTCAGAGCACATTTAAATAGACATGGAATATTTCTCGATAATGACACTGTCACACTACCTGACGACTTAAGGCAATGTTACTCGAAATTACCGGGATATAAGGCAAAATGTAATAATTGCGGCGAAACAATATCCTTCTTAAAAACTGTTGGACATTTACGAACACATTTAAGAAGGCATTCCACAATAACCCAGAGTCGAGATAAGTAAGTATACAATCAAAAAATTATTAAAATACTAAAGATTATAAAATAAATGTAATGATAAAACAATCAGTGGCTAAAGAAAATTGAGTGAATAAAAGTTTTTATTGGGGCATCCATATAATATCCATATAATATTTATTTTGATCATAAATATGCATGTACATTTTTTACCTTTTTTAAAAAAATTTGTTCAACGATCTGCACGCAATCTGATAATTATGCAACTTTTAACTATATATTCGTATAAACATTCATTCTAATAAGTAAACCAGGACTTTTTATGACCTTTGTGAGAAATTCTACAAACGCTCGTTGAAGAAATTACTGTACCACATTTAATATCAAATAATATGTATTACAGAACAGTTATGGTACCGAGAAAAAAACGCAGCAAGTTTTGGAATTATTTCGAGAAATTGAAACCTTCGCTGGTAAAGTGCACAATCTGTAAAAAAGAAATTAAGGTATCTCATCTAACAGACTACACAAGAATATTTAGAGCACACTTATTTAAAAAACATGGATTATCTCTCGATGATGACACTCTCACACTACCTGACGACTTGAAACAATGTTTCTCGAAATTACCTGGATATAAGGCAAAATGTAATAATTGTGGAAAAGCAGTGTCTTTCTTATCAAGTATAGATAATTTACGAAAACATTTAAGAAGACATTCCACAAGAATCCAGAATCGAGATGAGTAAGTACACAATCAAAAATTTATTAAAATACTAAAGATTATAAAATAAATGTAATGACAAAACAATCAATAGATAAAGAAAATTGAGCAAATAAGAGTTTTTATGGGGGCATCCATATAATATTTATTTGCAATTCTGATCATAAATCTCTCTCGTGTCTCTCAAATCATAATAATGATTATTTTTTAATTATTTCGCAAATATAATTTAAATAAATTTGTATCGATTATTTTCACGGTCTTTTATGCATCATAGATAAAGACAATTCCGAAATTTAGATTAGATATTTATTTGTTTGACATTAGTATTGCAGTAATTCGAGGGTCTCAGTTCCTAAATGCTTTGAAACCGATAAAAAAATATGTGTTATTTTTGCTATTCTATAAAGTATAAAATATCTAAAACCCATCAAAATCGGAGAGAGACAGTTCCAAACTTTCCCTTGTTAGAAAATTAAAAATTAAAAAAAAATTAAAAACTTAAAATTTTTCTAGACATATATCAACCTTATCGCGATGAAAAAGTTTTTACTGCTAAAAGGTGTATAAGTTTTAAATTATGTATTATAAATCTAGAAGCAACATTTTGAATCATCCCTTCTTGCCCCCGGAAAAATTCTGTGGTCGCCCTTGAATACGAAAATAAAAATAAAATAATATCAACCCTTAATTCTAATAAATTATTTAAGCATCCTTTAACGAACAATAAAATACATTATATATTTTTGTTACTTGTCTCTCAGTGAGATACTCTTTCGTCGCTTCAATTTCTAAAACTGCATTTACAACAGATATCAAAGCTCTAGCATCCAGTCTTGGCCTTTTTATTCCACGTTTATTATTTTACGTGGGATGGTAACTATAATACAAACAAATAGCTTCCAATTACTCTAGCTCTCAGTAAAAATGGAAAAAATTGTAGTTACACAAATAACTAAAAGTTATATAAAGATAACAATCAGCTAATATACTTTTGAAATACCGTTCTAAGGTACATCAACCGTCATGTTCCAATTAAAGTACATTGAAATCAATTTCTAATAAAAAATTAGTTAATAGCTTATAGATTATAAGTGAGGTTTTAAATAATTTACTACATTATCCTACATATTTGACACATTCTTATTACAATCCTTGGCTGATAACTGTATATCTTTATTATAAAAAATTATAAGAATCACAGTACAAATCTCAATAAATTTACTTTACGCGTCATAAAATACAAAAGTTGAAATAACTTACGTGTAAATAATCGCAACGACACAAAACTACAGATTTAAAGAGACTATCAAATAACTCAACAATTAGTACTATAAACTATTGCCAAATGCGAACACTATTTGATTATGACAGTGTTTTAACGTACAGCTGTAACCAAGGTACAGCACCTTCCTCTACTTGTAAAAAAAGAGTGATGTCCGTACAAAATATTTCTATTTCAAAAAAAGTTAATAAATTGCGCTGTAATAAAGTGTACGTCCTCCATACAAAATTTTTATTGAAAACAATTTTGACCTAATTTGGTCATATAATTTCATTTGTGTTTCTTGCTACAAAAACAATTATACCCGAAGGTTTGCATCAAGTGAATAAGATAAATTAGTATAACATCTAATTTTTTAAATAATGTTTCTTTATTATACTTGTTGTGTACGCGTTCTAAAAAAGAACACGTACACAGCAAATATAATAAAGATCTGAAAAAGAACACGTACACAACAACTGTAATAAAAAAATATCATTAAGGAAATTAGATGTTACTACTAATTTATACTTTTTATAATTTTACTTCGTATTTACTTAATGCAAACTTTCGGGTTTGTTGTAAATATTATAAAGAAATCAGATATTACTGACTTATCATATCTGCTTGACGCAAAAATTCCAATATCATTGTTTTTATAGTCAAAAATACAAATAAAATTATAACATCAAATATTATTAAACAATTTTTGTGAATAATGAGTTTGTATAGAGCACGTACATTTGGTTATCGGCGTTATTTTCCCTTTTTAGAAAAATGTAACTTTTGTAGAACTGTATGTGATCTGGGCATTATGGACTTGTTCGAAATGGATTCCGATCGGAATTATTCCGTTTTCCCTAGAAAAGACAATAGAAATCTAAGAAATAACTGAACAATTCCGATCGGAATCCATTCCGAAAAGTTTCATAATACGTGCCCTGGTAGTAATTAGGAAAATTAAAAATATATATCCTTATAAACATTTAGTCTAATAAAAAGAAACTATATATATATATATATATACCTCTCTTTGACCTTTGTGAAAAATCCTATAAGCGCTTTTTAAGGCGCTCACTGTAACACAATTTAGTATCAGAGATCTGTATTACAGGACAGTTATAATGGCACCGAGAAGAAAATACAGCAAGTTGTGGAATTATTTCAAAGAATTGAATCCTTCGCTGATAAAGTGCACGACCTGTAAAAAAAAGATTAAGGTATCTCACCCAGAAAACTGCATAAAAATAATGAGAGTACACTTAAGTAGACATGGAATATTTATCCATAATGACACTCACACACTACCTGACGACTTAAAACAATATTACTCGGAGTTACCGAAATATAAGGCAAAATGTAAATATTGTGGCGAAGCAGTGTCTTTTTTAACAAGTATGAGAAATTTACGAGAACATTTAAGAAGGAGACATTTCACAACAATACAGAGTCGTTATAAGTAAGTACACAATCAAAAAATTATTAAAATACTAAAGATCATAAAATAAATGTAATAATAAAACAATCAGTAGCTAAAGAAAATTGAGTGAATAAAAGTTTTTATCGGGGCATCCATATAATATCTATTTGCAATTTTCATCATAAATGTGCATCTACACACCTGGTGCGTTTTTTACCTTTTTTAAAAAAAAATATTTAAAGATCTGTACGCAATCTGATAATTACGTAAATTTTAACTATATATCTGTGTAAACATACATCATAATAAGTAAATCATGCCTCTTTATAACCTTTGTGAGAAATTCTACAAACGCTTGTTGATGCAATCGCTGTACCACATTTAGTGTCAGACAATCTATATGTTACAGGACGGCACAGACAAAAAAACGCAGCAAGTTGTGGAATTATTTCGAGGAATTTAAACCTTCGCTGGTAAAGTGCACGACCTGTAAAAAAAAAATTAAGATACCTCATCCAAAAAGCCGTACTACAATATTCAGAGCACACTTATTAAATGTACATGGAATATCTCTTGGTAATGAGATTCGTACACTACCTGATGACTTAAGGCAATATTACTCGGAGTTACCGGGATATAAAGCAAAATGTAATAATTGTGGCAAAGTAGTGTCTTTCTTCACAAATATTGAAAATTTACGAGATCATTTAAGAAGACATTCCACAAGAATCCAGAGTCGAAATGAGTAAGTACACAATCAAAAAATTATTAAAATACTAAAGATCATAAAATAAACGTAATGACAAAACAATAAATAGATAAAGAAAATTGAGCGAATAAGAGTTTTTATCGGGGCATCCATATATTTATTCGCAATTTTGATCATAAATGTGCATATACGCCTGGTGCGTTTTTTATTTATTTATTTGTTTTAAATATGTTTAAAAATCTGTACGCAATCTGATAATTACGCAAATTTTAACTATATAAACATACATCCTAATAAGTAATTTTTCTTTATGACCTTTGTGAGAAATTCTACAAACGCTTGTTGAGGAAATGAACTGTACTACATTTTATATCAAATAATATTTATTACAGAACAGTTATGGTACCGAGAAAAAAACGCAGCAAGTTGTGGACATATTTCGAAAAATTGAAACCTTCGCTGGTAAAGTGCGTAATTTGTAAAATCAAAATTTATATGCCTCATCCATCAAACAGCACAGCAATAACGATGGGACACTTAAATAAACATGGAATATTCTTCAATAATGACACTTTCGCACTACCTGATGACTTGAGGCAACATTACTCGGAGTTACCGAGATATAAGGCAAAATGTAATGATTGTGGTAAAAAAATGTCTCTTTTAAAAAATATTGTACGTTTACGAAAACATTTAAGAAGACATTCCACAAGAATCCTGAGTCGAGATGAGTAAGTACACAATCAAAAATGATTTTAATATTAAAGATTATTATTAATGCTTATTTGCATATCTGATCATAAATGTGCCTGTCAAATCGTAATAGTGATTATTATTTAATTATTTTGCAAATATAATTTAAATAAATATGAATCACTTATTTTCACGTTCTATCATGCATCATAGATATAAACAATTCAGAAATTAACATTAATTATTTATTTGTTTGACATTAGTATTGCAGAAATTCGAAGTAGATATATATAAAATGTACAATTTATACATAGTTTTAATAGATATTTAAAGTGAATAGCTCTATTCAATAAAATCTATATAGGACAACTCTCAAATCTGCCATCCACTGATTACGTAGATAAATATTTAATAATTAATAAATTAATAATAATTAATAAAAATTTCTGTTAGACAACAATCAACTGTTCTTTGTAATATTTGAATACACGTTGTAGGCCTACTCCACTTTACGGTCAGGACAAAATTTTGATAGCCTAATAAAATTGTTCGTGTGAATATATGTATATTTCTTCATCTCAACTAAAGCTGGAATAGAACAATTACGTTAAAATAGCGTTTCACCCTAACTGAATTTTAAATCATATATCGTGTTTTACTTATCTATTAATTACATATTCAGTCTAAACATTAATTGCTTAAAATTAGCATTACAGAAATTCGAGGTATAAAACATTCTCTCTTTCTATCTCTTTCTTTTTCTTCCTCTTACTCACTATCACTTAAAAATATTACTCTATTACGGTTTACGTCAATAAGAACATAATAGCATTAAGTAATACATACAGTTGTAGTATTTTAATAATTATTACTTTTTTCTACTTTTAATCACACTATTTGTCTATACAGACCAAGCACTTCAAGTTTAGCGGATGATAATGTGGGTCCTTCTGCACGCTGTCAAGGTCAAGATGATACATCTGGTTTGCTCGTTCAGTCATTTATTAAAGAAAGGACCGAAAAAACAGGCGCACTTAATGAGTAATTATTCGATTTTCTTATATCACACAATATAATAATGTCTTAATATTTAAATTAATTCTAACTCTTTTGCAAGAAAGTAAGTTAAAACGTTAATATTTTAAATAATGCCATTTCTAATTGAACCGTATTTCAATGCAAATCAATCATTTTAAGTTTAGCGGATTATATGGATCCTACTGCGAAACGTCAAAGTGGAGAACTATCTGGTTTGCCCGTTTAATCATTTAGAGAAAGAACAGGCGCTCTTAATGAGTAATTATTCGTTTTGCTTATATCATACAATATATATAATAATATCCTAATATTTAAATATTTACTCTTTTGCAAAAGAATAACTTACGACGTTAATGTTTCAAATAATTCCATTTTTAATTACTCTATATTTCTATGCAGACCAGGCACTTTAATTTCAACAGATTATAACACGAATCCTACCGCAGAATGTGAAAGTCAGGAAACAGTTGATTTGGATCGAGAAAGGATACAAGGGCATGTGATGGGTAATTATTTGACATTGTCATGACAAATCTACCATTGGCTCTTTGGTCAGATTAGTCATCAAGACTTTTCGACCATGGCTTTTGATCTGTTTAAATTGATGTAATTTTGATTAATATATATAATACATTAAAATAGAGTTGCTCCATAATTTGATTGATATCATATCGGTGTTTCACTTATCTATTATAATCATAAATTCAGTCTAGACATTAATTGATTGACATTAGCATTACAGAAATTCGAGGTGTAAAACATTCTCTCTCTATCTCTTTCTTTTTCTTCCTCCTATTTACTCTCCCTTACAAAACTTCACTCCATTACGGTTCACCGTCAATAAGTACATAATAGCATTAAGTAATATATATAGTTGTAGAATTTTAATAATTATTACTTTTTTAAATTTTTAATTACATTACTTTTCTATGCAGACCAAGCACTTCAAGTTTAGCGGATAATAGTATAGATCCTTCTGCAGGCCGTCAAAGTCAAGATACATCTGATTTGTCCATACAATCACTTAAAGAAGCGATAGAAAAAACAGGCGCACTTGATAAGTAATTATTCGTATTGTTTATATCATACAATATAATAATATCTTGATACTTAAATATTTACTCTTTTGCAAAAGAATGATTTATATTGTTGATTTAAATAATTCCATTTCTAATTGCACCGTATTTTAATGCAGACCAAGCACCTTAAGTTCAACGGCTTATATTATTATGGATCTTTCTACAGAAGAATATATTCCTCTGCGTCAAAGTCAAGAACAAGTACCATCTGGTTTACCCGTTCAATCATTTAAAGAAACGGCAGAAAATACAGGAGTACTTGATGAGTAATTATTCGTTTAGTTTACATAGTATAATGTAATGGTATCCAAATTGTTAAATATTGACTTGTCTGCACAAGTATATTTTACAACTGTAATATTTTAAAAATAATTACTCTCTCCTTTTTACTTTTAATCACATTACGTTTCTACACAGACCGAGCACTTCAAGTTCAGTGGATTGTGTTATGGATAATACATATAGTTATATTATTTTTATGATTATTACTTTTTTCTAGTTTTAATCACACCACTTTTCTATACAGACCAAGCACTTCAAGTGTGGCGGATGATAATATGGATCCTTCTGCACACCGTCAAAGTCAAGATACATCTGGTTTGCTCGTTCAATCATTTATTTAAAAAACGACAGAAAAAACAACGCACTTAATGAATAATTATTCGATTTTCTTATATCACGCAATATAATATCTTGATATTTAAATTTTTACTCTTTTGCGAGAGTAATTTACATCGTTATGCATTTAACCCTTTTAACAATATGCAATTTATTCTATATAAAATCATGTTTTTCTTTTCATTAGTAACAATAAATTTAAAAATTATTTTGATATACAGGGTGTTGCAGGTCAGGTCAATAAAACTTCAGGGTCTTATAGGAAATTGAATTGGGAACAAAAAAGTTTCTATAAACGTAGGTTCGGAAACGCTTCGTTAAAAAGTTATAAGTAATAACAATTTTAAAAACCACGTTTTTTTATGATTTTAAAGACATTACTAATCGGACACAATACGTAAAGATGTGCCGAACGTTATCAAGTCTTATCGGAATGAGCCGACGAGTGTCCCTTTTGCCTCAAATATCAGTCATCTCTCGTAGAAAGTCTCGGTCTATATATTTTATATGTCTGTGATATATACACACATTTATATATTTGTTTGATAATAGCAGAAAAATTCAAAAATATAAGAATCAATAAGAAAAAGCTATTTTATGACTTTATTTTAAAAATTATTTTACAACATAAATTTTTTCAACGATGTTTATATTTTTGAACAATATCGAAGTGATTAAATAAATTATTAACATTTACAATAAATGAATGAATGCGCAGTCAATCGACATTATCATCAGTGGAACCTTCGTCATAATATACGTTTTGGCGCGTGTTATCAAAATCCAATTCTGGACCTGTTTGAGATACCAGTTCAATAATGCCTCTGTAACATACGAACACAGAAAAGATCATCGTACCTTCATAATGATTATAATTATTAATATTAATATTTATTTGCAAGAAATAATCGCGTAAATAGTAAATATATATGCAAATTTACTTTAATAAGTCCCCTTCAAAGGTTGACCAAGAGACCGTTGCTGGATTCGTAACCTTATATTCCAATAAACTATTCAGAGCGTGTTGAAGTTCCTACATAACGAGAAATTATTTCAAAACAATTTCCTTTCTCTAAGAATGCACATATACATATACTAATACTAATCTGCACACCTGTATCATTTCTCCAGTTCCTCGTTCACAAATAATGTCTTCCGAAAAAGAACGAATTATATATTGTCCTTTTTCTCGTCCTAAAATATCATGTTATTACTATTACATGTGCACGATTAATATATTAAATGATGAACACATTCAAGTAAGAAAGCGTTAACTTACTTATCGATATATTTGAACCGGCGAACAATAAAATTGGTACACTTATACACGTAGTGTCATGCAAAAATATGGCAGTAGAGCGTTGTTTTGTGAAATATGTCAAGTATGGACTAGGAAACCTGGAAACTTTATTGTTTACGCTCGACGGATGTATACATACGCTACCGTCTTCCGGTGTCCAAGCATTCACCCCATGTTTATTAATTCGCCTAGAACAGTTAGTTAGAATCGGTATACATTAACGTTGAGCATTATAGATGTTATGTTTCAGTCAAACAATGGAGAATTAAAATAAATCAATGTCTGCACCTTATAACAGCGATGTTAGGATATAATCCTGCACAGACAATGGCTTTTATCAATGCTATGTTATCTGAATTTCTGTTAGAGTTTATATAACTTGGATTTTCGCTGTCTAGAAACTTCATATCATACAGATACTGTGCAAATTGTACTTTCATTTCGGAGAGGAGCTTCAACGTATTGAAAGAGAGGAAATATTCTCGGCAAAACTGGCGAGCATTTCCTCGTTGACATGCAATTTCATATCTTCTTAAAGCTTCTGCGAGAGCAATATGATCGCTACATTGTTCCATGCTCAGTTCTAACTTTTTTTCATTAGCCTTTTCTTCTTGCCCTAATGGGCAATAGAAAGCGTCTTTAAATGTGAGACTAGCAGCAATAGCAAATATTGGCTCGACACAGGAAAATAATGCGCCCCACAGAATCATTTTTCCTATAATAAAATGTATGTTACATTAAAATTACAAGTCAGCTTTGCAACAACAGCAATAATAAAATTACCTGTTCTAGGGTCAAGTGGCAAGTGCGCTAAGTGATAACCCAAAGGAGTTAAAGTCTCATGTTTGTCGAGGGCATTGAGTGTCTCAAGTAACTCGAGAGACAGATCAATGGCTCTTAAATCTGGTGGATCCATGACGGTAGCTAGGAACTCTTTAACTTTCCCTAATTGCAGGATTTTTATTTGCAAAATTACTTCTTCTAAGCGCGTTCTCAGCATCTCTGGCAATGGATATGAAGCAAATGTCATTTCTCGTGCTTTTGTATACATATGATAACACTCTCCACTTTTAACCCTATGTAGAACACATAATATATATGTTTAGTTTGATCTATACAGAGAAATTCGATAAAATGCATTATTTTTCTTCTAATATAAAACTATAGTAAAATATAATGTGTCGCACCTGCCAGCCCTACCGCGTCTTTGCTTTGCATTAGCTAAAGACACCCATTCAGGCTCTAAAGTTTGAATATTATTTTTCACATCAAATTTTCCAAATTTTGTTTTCCCACAATCTATTACATACACAACATCTTCTATAGTTATTGACGTTTCAGCAATTGAAGTCGCAATGATTATTTTACGAACGCCAGGAGGTGATTCTTTAAATATAAGTTTTTGATCAACTGTCGGCATGCGTGAATGAAGAGGATAGATAACGTATTTTTCTGTAAAAAAAATTTTTTTGATCATGATGCTGTATCAGATTGTATAAAAATAACTATAAACTTTTTAACACAATTAATTATTAGAAAAAAGAAATAAACTTGATTTTATCTAATTTGAAAAATCAGTTCGTTAATTTGACGATTCAATATACATATAAATTAAAACTAAACATAAAAGTACCATATACTTATACTTAAAGCAAAAATAATACATATATACTTACGACTTGGATAATGTTCAGAGTCTAACATCATTTTATTTAATTTCGATATATCCATCATACCAGGTAAAAAAATAAGAATAGCTCCAGGATCTTTTGTATTACAGATATATCTAACTAATTTTTCTATGAGCTCTAATGAAAGATCTTCACTAATTGGATTCCGTAATTGATTAGTAACATGTGTTTCATATTTCTTCTGTAATTATGTAAAATTATTTACCATAGAGATAAATATCATCATTAGTAAACTTTAAATAATCATTATACTTATATATATATGTCACAGTAAAAGTGTGAAATCAGTAAATATATACACTTACTAGTCAATGTATACATTTAACTAAATTTTATGTTTCAAATTTATAACTTTTAATAAAGAACATCATTATCACACGTGATTGGGTTGGGTTAGATTAGCTTTTTTGGGATAGGGACGCAGGCCACTACCCCTCTATCTTGTCTTACCTCTATCTCTCATACTATAATGAGTTATAAATTAGAAATACTTTTGTAAGTGTATATATTTATAAATATATAATTTCTTTCAAGTAGTAGAAAATATATTATTCATATTTACCTCAGCTATAAGTTGTCTAATATAAGGTTGTAATATGTTTGAAAATTCTTCTTTTTTATGTTGTTGTTCTTTGTATCTTTTTAGGTGCTTTCTGTAACCTATAGGTTCTGGGGGTGGATCGGGAAATCTGTAGCTAAAAATTAGGAAACATATTGTATAATTATTATAAATTTATATCTAAAAATTAGAAAATATAATTATTATGATATAATTATATTTGCATTATATTTATATTAATTCTCTCATGTATACATAATCTAAAATCATCTAAAAACTTATTTAATGACTATCTGAAATCTTCATCAAATATATCAATAATGTAGGATGAGAGATCGAAACCTGTCGATTTGTAGTCGATAAGTTTTAGATTCGATCCCAATTATCATCTCATATACGCCTTCATAAAATGCTGATTAAAGAGTTGAAAATTTTGAGTGAAAGAGTATGAGGTTATTGTAGTATGTGAGATTGTAATTCAAGTACAATAAACTAATTTGTACATACAGTTTCAATAATATTATGTCAATACTTACTTCACAAGTGATAAAACATCTTCTAAATAAAATTCTTCTACTGGATAGGTGAATCCTGGTATATGTATCATCGGACATTTGTTATAATATGCTGAAAAGCTTTCAGCATTCAATGTTGCACTCATCAAGAGAACTTTTAAATCCATTCTCTAGAAAATATGTTAAAAAATATTATAAATCAAATTATAGAACACGATCATATAATTTATGGACAAAATTGCATGTTACAAAAATAACAAAATATATATCTAAAAAAATAAATAAACTAACACAGAACATAACAAAATGCAATCTAAATAAAGGTAATTATGTAATAACGACATGACGCCACTAAAACTTACTTTCGGAATAATTTGCTTTAATAATGTCATGACAAAATCACTTTCTGTGGTACGTTCGTGAATTTCATCCAATATTACATGAGAGAAACTTTTTAATGCTGGATCACGCTTCATAATTTGTAATAATATACCAGTGGTACAAAACAATATACTTCCTTGCTCTCGCACTGAAGTTCTATAGATAAAAGAAATCAAAGTGAAAGAACGTCATTTTTTCCTATAAAATAATGTATAGTATAGATATCACACGTAAATTTACTTTTCAAGTCGTATCTGATAACCGACAGAGTTTCCAAGATTTTCTGCTCTTTCCATAGCTACACGTTCAGCAACGGAAATAGCAGAGATCCTTCTAGGCTGCGTGCAAACTATTCGAGTAACGCTACCGTTTCCAGCTTCTAACTCATCATCCAATATAAATTGTGCAACCTGTGTAGTTTTGCCGCATCCTAAAATTTTTTGAAAGAACAATCATTAGTAACAACTTATATTGGTTCCATTGATTAAAATTGGAAATTCGAATAACCAAAAATTACACCAGCATGTTTAATGTTCAAAATAAAATTTCTTTAATTGCTTTAATAAATGCAAATAATCAGAAATAAAAAATAATAATCGTAATAACATTCTATCCTATGTTAGCAAATAATTTCTGCAACATACCGGTTTCTCCACTAATAACAACAACTTGATTATCATCAACCATTTGTAATATTTCTGATTTTTTTTCATATGCCGGTAACTTTGATCGAAATTTCAACATCGCTCGATAAGCGTCCTGCCTCTGTTTTTCTCTGTATTCATTTTGTAATATTCGGTCTGTATCACTATCTCTTTGCAATTTTGACTGCACATTCATAGCTTTAGCAATATTCTGCTGCATATCACCATATATAATGTCTAAAAATTTTCTTTTAAATTGAGTATCGTGTATTTGATGATACTTGTTGCCATGCTCGGACTTGCAATTTTCATAAGAAGAATTGTAAAAGCTCTTTGAATTATTTAATATAGCTTTAATTCTTTGCTCCACTCTAGGTGATAATCTGAGCACTTCTTGAGCATTTCTTTTTTGTCTCTCCAAATTTTTGTTTCTATAATACAATCCTATTTCTTTTCCCCTCAGTCCAGGAGGTCTTTGTGCTTGCGAATACGCTCTTCCACGTCCGGATGTAGACGACTGTGTTTGTTCTAAAAAATTTATAATAATTTGCATTTGAGAAATATTTAATTTTTTCTTTATTTAACAAATTTCTATTACTCAACAATGCATACTTTAAAGAATAGCAATTATTATAAAACTGAAATATCAACAGCGTTTGAAGCAAGTGTTTAAAATTTTTGAAAAAATTAGGTTTAGAAGTGAACAGAAAATATTAATGGGAGTTCTATTTGCGCTTTGTTTAACAGAGTAATTAACTTAATATATTAATAGCTAAAAAATTATTTAGTTTATGTTAATAAAATTATTAAGTATGATTTATTTCTGGCACAAACAATTGAACATCTTACTAAGGCACAATGAACATTACATATTGATTTAACAAAAGACTCTCATTCAACGCCTATTTCAATAAAATCTGTCATATATTAGTTAAGTTTATAAAAGAAACACTGCGCATCGAAAAATACACATTTGTAAACATCCATTATTTCTTGATTCATTTCTAAAATCTAAATTACTTTCGAAAACTCCATACAAAGAAAAAGAAAAAAGACAAGATATAAAAAGAAAAAGACTATTTTAGACCTAGAATACTATATACATAATAAAAGATAATTGTTAATTGATATATCAGCCAATTTTACAACCGCTAAGAAAATATTTCTCGCAACACGATTCCTTCATTACCTCTTAGCTAATTCCGTCTAGTATAAATAAAGAATCTTTTTAAAGAAATAAAATATCTGTTGAATTTCAAACCACATTATAATTTAAAAGATTTCGCAAGAATCGAATTACAATCAATTAAATATTTTAAGTAATCTAAGCCATTCTCTCAATAGAGATCTGTTAATCGTAAAGATTTTACAAGAGAAAGTTGGAGTCACACGAAAGCACGTGTGACTCCAAAAATCGAGCTCTCACTGATTAATTATTTTTCCCGCTGATATTCGTACCAAAGGTAAAAAGAAACGATCCTTCCAACAAAAGGCTCTCGTACGACAGCAATAATGTGACAAATGACTTTTGAAATGAATTTGGAGCATTCTTCGGGCGATCTTACCGTCTCTGTTGTGTCGCGTGAAGGAGTTCGGCATGCCTCTGAAACCGCGTCGGTGCGACATTTTTGCGAACACCAGCAAACAGGAAAGATTCATTAACACCGGCACGTCGAATCTAATAATCTATACGCGGCTTCTCGCGTCCTCGCGCATCGCGACGAACGTCAACTTTTTCACGGACAGTCCGATCCAACCTCACTACTGAGCGTGGTCTTTTTGGTCGCGACGTCCATTTAACAGGTTTTTTTTTTCTTGTATACTCCACTCTGTTGCACTTTCTGCACCTGAGATGAAAGAGACGTCTGCAATCAGGTGCAGTCAGACATGAGAGAGAAAAAGAGAAAGAACGGAAAGTATGTACAAAAGTTACAACTACAATGGGTTTGGTTCTGTAGCTGCACTGTCTTGCACTTTCCCCACTTAAACTGAAATGAGAGCGTAATCAGGTGTTGGAGAGAAAGAGAGAGAGAAGAAAAGTACAAAAGTGCAGCTACAAGGAACAAATTTAATACGGGACGAACACTGGAAGGAGCTGTGCTCGATTAGGTTTGTTTTTCATAAGTATGTGAACAACTATTAGGATTCGAGATCTGTCGAAATTCGTAATATTGAATGAGAAAACTCCGTTTGCTTCTTCTGAGAGCTTAGAAATTTCGCGTCTTAAATATATATTTTTTTTTACTCCTGTTTAGCTTAATTCTTTTACCATTTATTAATTGAATAATGCAATGCAAATTTGTTATTGTTAATAAAAAAGTAATTATGCGATCGGATAGAAATTAGATCAAACCGTGCGTTCTTGATCACTGAAGCAGAAAGTATTCATTTAATTATGCATGCGACGAAAGGGTTAACCTGCAAAACGTGGTGACGCTTTCGTGCGTGTTGCACGCGAGATTTGGCAAATTTTGCGCGGAATTAATGAACATTTCTCGTCAGAGCGGATTCCGTTTCGCTCGTTTTCACTAGGTGACCAGGAAGTCGAGGGGGATACCTACAATTAGGAACGTATCTATATGCTGCGATCACGCTGAAAAGCATATAGCCATGTCGGACCCGGACAAGAAAACTAACGAACCGTATCGCCAATTAGAGGAATCACATGGCGCCGAGCTAAACGTTGGTGCTCAAAGTAGTCAAAGTACGTCGAGCTGCCACACGAGCTTGGAGAACGGCACCGAACGGTCGATGGAACTTTCCTCTGTTGTGGTTATACCCGATGGTACGTTACGTTGAACTATAATCTCCCGTAATCATATAAGTAACGTAGAAGTATGTGACATAATGCAGTATTTAATTATCTACCGTGTCTTAATTGTACAGAAGGGTTTACTTAACTTTAACACGAAAGAAGGACCGTACGCTGTAAATATTTAATACCGCATGATAACATATAACACTGGGGAAGGCTGGTTTTTACTAATGGCTACGTTAAGTTGTGGTAACACGGAACACTGCAAAGTATCCTTAACAACAGTACAACAATGCACATTAGACATGCATGTGTGCAAGAAATTAGGTGTGTATATTTTCCATGAACTTACTGTGGTAATAATATATATATATATATATGTTATTTCTGATATCTGAAAAAAGACAATATGTTTTTATGTGTACATACATATCGTATGAATCATAAATATCATGTAAAATAATGCAGTATATAATAGCATAATCTAAAAATTATTTAATTAAGTTAAATTAAATTTTGACAGATACCTTTACTGTGGTACAAGCTATTAATGCATTAGGCTTTGGAAAATTCCAAGTAAAATTGTCTCTGTTCACGGGTCTTTGTTGGATGGTAGATAGTATGGAGATCACAATATTGAGTATCCTAAGTCCATCCTTACATTGTGACTGGGGCATTTCTAGATATCAGCAAGCACTGACCACAACGGTATTTTTTGGACTTACATAATTGTCTTTGTAAATACATGATGATATTATTCAAATTTATTATTATGGGAATTGAATTTTTAGGTAGTATTTCTTGGTATGATGTTAAGTTCTACTTTCTGGAATAATTTGAGCGACAGATACGGTCGTAAGCAAGCTTTAACTTTGTGCGCGGTGCTACTGGCCTATTACGCATTTCTAAGTTCATTTGCACCAAATTTTCTCTGGATCCTGTTGCTTAGAGGAGTTGTAGGGTTTGCTATTGGTTGTGTACCGCAATCGTAAGTATTTGGTAAGTTTCTTAAAGACGAACAACTAGCTTGCTTCGAAATCTGTTGTTACCATTGATGCGTCTCTTTTTCTGCAGAGTGACATTGTATGCAGAATTTTTGCCAGCAAAGCAACGAGCAAGATGCGTTATTCTACTGGATGTAAGTTTATATAAGTATGCAGCTAATATAGATAATAGTACTTATTAAATGCAAGAAGTATATATATATGTATTGTGTTTACTAGTGTTTTTGGGCTCTTGGAGCTTGTTTCGAAGTGGCGATTGCATTAATCGTTATGCCCAATTTTGGATGGAGATGGCTTCTTATATTATCATCCATTCCATTATTCATATTTGCTATAATAACACCGGTTTGTAATAAATTTAGATATTTTCAATGTATATTATTTGTTTAGAAATATTTGAGAATAACATCAAATAACTCTCTCTCCATATATGTATTTGCAGTGGCTGCCAGAATCTACAGTGTTCAATATGACAACTGGAAGAACAGATCGTGCAATTTCGACATTAGAACGTGTAGCTAGAGAAAATAAAAAGCCATTGCCTCTAGGAAGACTGGTTATGGATCGATTTTATCAAGGTCATCATGGTCGATTTAAAGATGTTCTAAGCAAAGAAATGTGCAGAACCTCTGCTTTACTTTGGCTTGTATGGTAAATAACCGCAATATAAAATTAAGATATTAAGTTATTTCAATACTTGTGCAACTATTTTGTAGCTTTGGCGAATAGAATATATTTGTAATATCTAAATTCTAAATATATGTTATATATTTTTTTTACAGGATGAGTACAGCGTTCTGCTATTACGGAGTAGTATTAATGACAACTGAGCTTTTTCATACATCCTCAGAGCAATGTAGCACATGGGGTACGAACAACGATGAGGGTACATGCCAACTTGACTGTCGATTACGACGTAGCGACTACATCGATCTGCTTTGGACAACATTGGCGGAGTTTCCCGGGATATTCTCTACTGTTTTTGCGATCGAGAAAATAGGCAGACGGAAGACAATGGCCTGCCAGTTAGTAATGTTCGCCATAGTGGTTTGCTTCTTAGGCAGGACCTGCTTGTTGAGCAGAGCATCGTTGACCATCGCCGTTTTCCTAGCCAGGGGCCTAATCGCCGGTGTGTTTCAAGCTGCATATGTATACACGCCGGAAGTGTATCCCATGCATTTACGAAGCATAGGTGTAAGCGCGTGCAGCGCTATGGCGCGAATCGGTGCTATGATCACTCCATACATAGCGCAAGTATTCCTGCAGTGGTCCATCACGGGAGCCATGATCATTTATGCGACAACCGCTTTGTGTGCTGCAATTGCTACGCTTGCACTTCCCGTAGAGACGAAGAATCAACAATCAAATGATGCGTGTCAAGAAAATAGATAGACATCTTTGCAACGAAGTATTTTAGCACACTGACCAAAATTTACGATTCTGTTGCATTATTTAGGATACTTTTATTTTTATTGCATTATGATATGTAATAACATATATACACAATCAGTTCTTGATTAATTGAGAACTCATCTTGTGTATTCATATATGACCATATACATATGTGAATAAGCAGCTATTAATACTTTCAGTTTATTATTTAATCAAATGGACATTATTATAAGTTATATATCAGTTATATATCAGTTATATATCTATTTATTATAGTGTTAACAAAGAAAATTTTTTTTATTTGCACAAGGGTTTATTATCAGAATGTTAATTGTAGGTAATTTAATATACAAAGACTGACACATATGCGACTTTCAAGAAAAGTGCCAATACAAATATTAATCATGAATGTTTTATGCTCTCAATTTTATATATGTACTTTTGAATCTGTTTTTGAAGATAAATGATAATAAGTATCTGATGGAATAAATGAATAAAATTAGTTCAGTATGATTGGCTCGTTAATAGACAATTATAAATTCAAGGCCAATACTAATGACAATTGTGGTAAAGATTGGCATTTGCGTGTACTTGGCCGGAAATAAATGCTTTTTACAGTTCTTTATATGAAATCGTTTGTATATATCGTACAAAGGTTTTTGAAGCGCGATGAAAAGATTTATGAGTCATTCAGATAATTATAATTAATTATTTTTACACCATGCATTTAGTCGAAATAGATAAATTGAATAAAGTTTTTGTATGGAATTATTTGTATTTTGCATAAAGAATTATGAAGTTGTGATTACTTTTTGTGTGTCAATTTTTAGGAATTTTTCAAAAATGCGTCGAGCAGATTGATTAAAAATTTATCTAACACTAGTTATACATGGTATCGATTTTTAGGAATTACGTATAGGTATTAATAGGAAATTATTGTATAAATTAACATGCAGCGACATTTACTCCAAATCGACACTTGGTAAATTTGACATCAAGTTAGCTATCACCTTAAATCCAGCATCTTTTAGGCAAATACTGTGTGTCCTCTATTAATATCATGCGCTACATCTTCATATATATTGATTGTACACGATTCTAAACATCGTACATCTATCGAATTTTAATTTTATCATAAATGACTGCATACATTTTATTCTTCGTAATGTCAAATATCATATTAAACAAATATACCTGTAACGTAACATATCCAAGAGATGCTTTTTCAGATTGACAATAATCAGGTCGAGTTTCAATAGTGATGCCAATACATTTTGTAGTACATATATATTCAAATATGTATATATTATATATATATATATATATATATATATATATATAAATGTTTACACACACATTCTTGGCCATTCATTTTCAATAAATTGAAAAGACTTTGAAGTGCATAAACTATCATTTTATCCACACCTTACGCTCATATTTGCTTTAAATTGAATTTATATATAATTATACATTATAATTATCCGAACGAAACACGTTATTTGTTATAGATACTCCAAGACAATCTTTTGCGTGTCAAAATTCAATATCAATTTTTACAACTATGTATTAAACTAATATAATAAATAAAATTTTGTAATGTTGAAATGTAATATCTTGTCTTTCTTATGCGGTATTTAGCGATGTGCGTGAAATAAAATAATATCTAAGTGTTATATTTATGTAACTTAATAATCAAGGTAATTAGTTATTAAAATCCTATAAATGCAGACAAAATGTATCAAGCTATAATTGTCTTTTGTATGAGAACCATTGTCATTTTTTTCTGATAGATATTTAACACGTGTTTCCCATAAATTGTAGTATAACAATTTATGCGTAAAAAATAACAATGATAGTCTGACGTGCACGTGTGCACGTCAGACCAGGTCAGGCTGCGTTTCGCATAGTTGAGAACGGATCAGCTGTCGCTATCAGTCTCCCAAGTTACAATAATTGTGTATATTCGAAGGGATTTTTGTATAAAGAGTACAAAGCAAGATCAATTTCAAATAAATAAAATAGAAGTATCCAATATTGGCCTTTCAAAATGGTGAGTATTAATAAAAATCAGAGTATTTTTGAGGTTAAGAGGTTAGACGGAGGTTAACGTCACGCGTGTATGACCTTATATGGTAACATGACTGTGTATGTGTAGGCAGAAAAATGCTTTATATATATATGCCTGTACATTTTAATTTTTTAATAAATGATTGTATAATTTAAAGAAGAAGATTCAGTTGCTTCTGCGTTTTATATTATCCCAGCAGCTTCAAATTGATTTCTCAATTTCAGCAAGATCCAAATGAAGATACTGAATGGAACGACATTCTTAGGAGAAAAGGCATCATACCTGAGAAGAAAAAGGAACAGGAAATTACTGAGGATCAGATAGTAAATCTCTTGGAGAGTACGATAGATGAGAAAACAGGACGTAGTAATTATATTTCTCCAATTAAATCATTTTTGAATTTCTATCAATGCATTATCATGCACTGCTCACGATTTGGTTTTCGCAGCTCCTAATAATTTAGAAGAGAAGACCTTGGACGAGTTAGATGAGCTGGAGGACGAGGAGGATGAACGAGTACTGGAGGAATATCGACGAAAGAGGATAGCAGAGATGAAAGAGCTAGCAAACAAGTCTAAGTATAGAGAGGTGCTAGAGATATCTGCGGAAGATTACGTTAAAGAAGTTAACAATGCTGGAGAGGACGTTTGGGTTATTTTACATCTTTACAAGTCTGGGTACGATGAAACAAAGCAGAATAAATCTTAACAGTGAATGTAGCAACGAAACTAACAGTATATGCTTTCAGCATTCCACTCTGTACTCTAATCAATCAGCACCTTGCCAATCTAGCAAGAAAGTTTCCTACCACTAAGTTTTTGAAAAGCATCTCCACCACTTGTATCCCCAACTGGCCAGACAGCAATCTTCCTACAATATTCATTTATCATGACGGAAATATGGTGAAGCAAATTATTGGACCGCTTGAGTTCCGTGGCATGAAACTGTCTGAAGCAGGTGATACACACGTGATTGCAAATTATCGCAAAGTCGCAAGGAAATATGCGAGAAAATGATTGCGCTGTTTACTTTGTTACATAGAATTGGAATGGATGTTGGGACAAGCAGAAGCAATACCAACGAAGATCAAGGAGGATCCTCGACCCAAGATTAACGATGTCTTATTTTCAAGTTTGAAAAATGAAAGCAATCTCGACGACGGTAACGACTGGTAATTTTACCTACATGAGGTTATCACAGGAGATTGGCACATATAAATGCATAATAAGTATTATGTAATAAGATATTAATGCTGTTTCACATTTTATTTATTTTATTATGTCATATACGAACTCATCACTTGTAAAAGTACTATTTTCAGTACTATTTTCAACTGCTACTATTCATTTTGGAATAAAATATTTTATTACAATGTTATTTCACTCTATATTTATGCTGTTTTTCCTATAGACTGTTTATAAAGAATCTATTTATTCAGTAATATACACATTTAAATATAAATTATGTTACTCAAAATTTAAATAATAAACGATTATCAACTAGAACCAGCAAGCTCTTTAAAATCTTTGAAATTGTATAAATTTTAGTTGCATATACTGTATAACATTTATTTTTAATATTATATACATATAAAAAAAGTAGGTACTCTATGTACAAAGGAACAATATTATGTATATAAAGATTATTTTTATGTTTTTATGGCAAAGTTTGAATTTTTGTTGAAATTTATATGTAATTAATCTCTGCATTTTAAAACTGACTAATTAATGTTCAGCGATTGATGATTTTGTTAATTAATATTTCTCTGTTTTGCGTACACATTATAAATAATTAGAAATAGAATTTTAATTCGGTCCCCCCCCCCCCCATGGATTCGGTTAGCATGCATTTCCTCTCAAATTAGAGAGGACTTTTAAAGAAAATGAGTAAAAAAAGTTAGTTTAAAAATCCTCACACACACGCCCCACGCGCGCGCGCGCGCGCGCACACACACACACACACACACACACACACACACAAAAGTTACCTATATGTTAATTTCATGTCGGAACGTTATCGAAAGGAGCAATGAATATCTTTAAAGCCTATTTTTGCCCATTTCTATCAATGCAGATTAACTTTAATCTTGGTTTCACTTACTTTTATTATTTTCTAATATCCATTTCTATTCTTAGAACTAGAAAAAGATATAAAAAGTAAGTTAAATCGAGATCAAAGTTAATTCACATTAGTAAAAATGGACATAATTAGGGATAATTTTTAGAACTAGAAAAAGATAAAAAATAAATTAAATCGAGATTTAAAGTTAATCTTTATTAATACATGGATATTAGACGATCTATAGATTTCAAGATAGAGTTCTGTTTACAATTAATTTGATACTGTCCATTTCTTCGATGCAGATTAACTTTACAATCTCGGTTAATTTACTTTTTATCTTTTTCTAGTTAGAATTAGGAAAAGACAAAAAGTGAGTCAAACAGAGGTCAAAGATATTGCGTGTATTTCGTACGTGTGCATTTTAATGTGTATGTATGTACGTCGTATAAGCACGCGTTCCGATTCTTCACATGTTTTTTTTGTATCGCGAGACTCATGCTCATGGAGCTAGCGGAAAATCTATCTTGAGTCTTGAATTCTGATCGCGGGGTAGGTGAAGTGCGGTGAAGGCAAGAGAGGTTTTGGGTTTGGGAACTCCTCGGACATGGGCAACACCTCGGACGGTAAGGAACGACGATCGTCACCAAGATCCCAGGATTCCTGGATCCCGATATCCCATCGCGACGTGTTTTTCCACGCGCATAAAGGCTTATTAATTCGTGCCTCGAAACCTATTGGGGAAACGTAGTAAACGTACGTACGATATTTATACATATTTATATATCCTATCGCGGCGCATCGAGTGTCCGCGTCGTAGTCGGCGCGTGAATGGGCATGAATACATCGGCGAATGTTTTAGAAAAAAAAAAGGGCGACGCTGCCAGGGTACCGGGCGACTCTGTTTACATTCGCGGCGCCCATAGGATATCTTTTTCTACGCGATTATCGCTCCCTCAAGGACTTCTCAGATTTCCCTTTTTGTTTAGTGGCTGAGAGAAAGAGAGAGATAGAGATAGAAAGCAGGCTCTTGCGCGTCGCGCCGCGAGACGTCAGTCGCGCGCGGACGAAAGACGGGCAACGGACTTGTTTGTTCTTGTTTGACCCGTGGCTTATTGCGACACCCGGACGAATTTTCATCATCGACGAGTCACCCCGCGAGCGAGATCGGATGGGATAAGGCCTGTGACTTATTTGCGAGCCCTGATGCTCGCTTTCCTCCCTTTGGCGGGACCAACGACGAAGGCGGTTTTTGATTGACGATTTCGCGGTTTCTCGGAAGGTAATGCGGGACGCACACAGATATTATTCCTTAATTCTGATTTAATCGGTGCTCATTGTTCAATCTGCAAGTCTGCAAGTTGCTTTTCACGTGTCGACTGAGATTGGCAAGATTCTAGAGACAGTGATGACTGTGATGAGCAACGCTTTTTGCCCTTTGTCGGTTTTAGATCGTCGCGTTGTTGACGTTGGATTAAATAAACATGCGATATGCTTGTATAAACATTTTACAGTTATTACGATTTTAAGTAAGCTAGGCGTGATTTTTTAACGATTGTGTTTAGCAGTTCTTCGAAATGTTGATTGTGAAGCATTTTATTGCCGTAATTCGATGATGCGATAAACGTTAGATATCTTCTCTGTCGTGGATACCTTGAATTTTAAACAGAGATTTTTCCATAAAAATTGAACGAAGACTGATCTTTGCGATTGATTCTTTGCATTTCTTTAAAATTGAAGAATGAGAACGTGATCAACATCTGTTTTATTAACTCATGTATTTTTTGCATTCTGTATTGAAAATACGATATAGAAAGGAAGCAATTCAGATCTTATAGCTATGGCTAATTTAAACGTCAAGATAATGATAAAATATCACAATTTATAAAATTTGAAATGTTGAATTTGTTAAATACAATTTGCGAATTTTGCAGATATTTTTCAATAATTATATACACAATGGTTTTTTAAATAATCTGTATATGAACTGCTATTATTGATAAGTGAATGGTTGACGCAATAACATTAAATAAACATGCGATACGTTTGATTATGATGTGGACCTTTATTATGACTTTAAATGAGCTAGGCTTTGTTATATATTTAGTTTAATACAATCAGGAAATTGTATTCAGCTAAATACATAGAAAAGTTCTTTGAAATGTTTATCATAAAATATTTTATTTCATACAGTTAATCAGGGACAAATAATTCAGCATATTATTTTATCTTCTCTCTTTCTCTCTCTCTCTTTCTATATATATATATATATATATATATATGATATAATTTTATTTAAAAAATAGCCAAACATATTAAACATTTTTATCAATTATATTGTTTACTGGCTAAAAGTTCGTACACATTGCAGCAGAGTATGCGGGCACAGAACTGTGATGATATCAGGGAAAGGATGAAGAATAACGTATATACATCTTCTATGAAGTCCTTCAAAACCGTTTTTGTAGAAGATACAAATATTTCTAAGGAGGAAACTATTGCGAGTCAAGCTGCATTGCACAATGTCCAGCTTATACGGAATTTGCCTAATATTTTAAGAAGCAGTAATACGAAAACGCCCAAAAACCGGAAACTATCGGACAAGATCGACACCTCCTTCATATTCAGTACGGAAGACGGAAATACCTCTTTGGAATTAAATACGACGTCATCCAGTATTGATTTAGATATGGAAGCCAATTATAACAAAACCACTTCACCAAAATCGCACCATCAAAGGAAGCAAGTGCACAATCCGTTGAACATACAAGATATTTCCGATTGCAACAATAATAAAAGTAAAAATATACTGCCAAAAATTGATCAGTTCGATGAATTATGTTTGTTAGCAAGTCGCGAAGAGAACGTACCAGCGAAGAGAACGAAGTATAATGACAAACAGAAAAAACGTTCGTCTGATAAAAAGACGAAAAAAGTAACACCTCGCAAAGCTGGCAGCAAAACGCGAGTGTCATGTAAAAAGCCGGACGCTTTAGCCACTATTCCAGATGTAAAAATTATGAACACCATAGTGCAAAATACTAATAATTTTTTCGAGAATGATTTACTTACTCAGCCAGTCTGCAACCCTAATTTTTCAAATATAAATGTAAACGATTTACATGACATTGCAACAAAATCGGTTGAGCCATTTAATGTTTTCTATCGCAACAACGAGGTTTACAATTTCGAGAAAAAATATGATGTGAATCTTAATGATATTTCTTACAAACCAACGGAGTTTAACGCAGTGCAGCCTAAAGTCATCGAAAGAGATATTACGAGTTACGAGTTTCCAATGATAGATAATAATTTGCAACAAGAGTCGAAAGACAAGAACATTGACTCTTTTTTATATGAACCTAAAGTATTGTATTCTTGTTCTTGTGCAAATTGTATGTCACATGACAAAGATATTATATTTTATGAAGATCCAGTTTCAACCTTTACAAGCAGTGACGACACACAAGAACCTTTCATGTGTGATTTGTATACAAATATGTATGACTTTTATTTTAATGATTACTCTCATATATTTGATGATAATTTAATGGGCTTTGAAGAGACAAATCTTTACTGTGGAGAATTTGGCGAGAACAATATTACGAAGGAAATTTCGTACACTGGCGCTAAGAGTACAACAGAACTAATTGAAAGCAGTGCAAACATGTCGTCTGTTGACCAAAATAAATTACAAAATTTACAACCTTGCCATATTGATAGAATACAAGATTGTGTAGGATCATGTCCTACAGAACTTGTTACATATCCCAATGGAACAACAAGAATGGACAATGTAAAAACAGTTTTGGACGATATGGATACCTCCAATTTAAATTCGAAAAACTTTTCGATGAACGAAAGCGAAATAATTTCTCAAGATGAACTGATTCCAACCAACTTCAAATGTCAGACACCGAAAAATAAAAAAGGTAAATAAAAGAAGAGAAATAAAATAATTGCAATAAATTATTATTTCGAGTTTTTCTATGAATTGCTTACTTAATAAATATATATAAATATTATTTTTACTTTAGATTTATGTATTTATCGGTGTTCTGAATGTGGGAAATTATTTAATAAAAAGCCTCAGTTATGGAAACATTTTACTCGCTGTGACTTTTACAAAGAGAATTTTAAATGCCATATCTGCAGTAAAACATATAGGTAAGAATATAAAGATAAATATTGAATGTGTTTTCTTGCTGTTTATAGTTATATAAATATATCATATAGTTATAAATATATAGAATGTGTTTTATGTACATACATGTTATTAATACATTTACAGGCATAAGTCGTCATTAGCTCAGCATTTACGGATAACGCATAACGTCTTATATGGTCTTCACGACAAGTTCTATACTTGTAACAAGTGTTCAAAATCATACGTCAGATTTCGCGCTTTTCAAAGGCATCTGCTTCTTCATGATGATTAGTAAGTCTAATTAAACGTCACTGATAACTGATTTCTAATGTGACGTTTTTAAACTGAGATTGCCATTAAGAAATTGCGAAAATCGTACTTGACATGAACATTATAGAAGTGCACATAGCAGTACAATGTGTTAACTGTTTGTTCGATATATATTTAACTCGACAGATAATTTCAGATTTTACGGATAATTTTACTTTTTGATAAGCTGATACTTAATTTTTTATATTTTTTGTTATTATTTTTGTTATCAGTTATTTAGAAATGTTCCTCTTTGTGTAAATTTTCTTATTAGTGTTTTCTACTAGACCTTTTTTTAGTTTACAGTGTATTGCAGCAGGTCTTATTACTACTGTATTTCTATGCATCACAGATTCTTCATTTTGACAAGAATTCTTCATTTTAAGCTTTAAATATGTAAATAATAACAGATCTCGATTACATAATTAATTCTACATGGGTTTTATTTTAATAAATATTGACTTAAAGATAAAATAAAATATTTAATATTAAAAAGTAAAGAAAGTATAGGTAAAAAATTAAATTTTTATAATTAAGAAACTTCAAATTTTTCAAGGAAAATATTGAAGGAGTGGAAGTACAGTAGTAATAAACATTAATCAAACAAAAATTGAGGGCTTTTATTTATATATTTTTATGCAAAAGATTCTAAAGTATATAAGTTGGGTATAACATATTTTACTAATATTTGACTGAGATTTGACTAATATTTGATTAATATTTTGTTCCTTTTTATGCGTTCTTTTTACTTTAATTTACTGAAATGTATCGTCAAAGTTTTTCTCTCTGTAACTACATTTTTTTTTGTCCTGAAGATGAGAATAAGTTATAAACTTGCGAGTATTTGGCAATTTATTTCGGGGACATTATGTATGTTTAGTAATTTCATTTAGCATATATAAAGAAGTACATATTTTATATTTTTTATATTATAACGATGCATCAAAATTTGATATTTGTGTATGTATCCATTTAATACTAGTATATTATTATGCCGAACGTATAGCCAATAAATAAATATTACTATAAGTTTATATCCTTGAAGAACTAAAGCATTTGCCTAATAATTGTAAAACCAAATTATTAATGGTTTCTTTACTTGTATACGACTGAAATTAACAATTAAAACTGTTATCATCAAGTAAAAATAAAAGAAAATGTGGCAATACTCTTAGGGTGCGTCCCACTTAACGCTCGCAACGCTCGTGGAATTATTTCATCCTTGTTGTTTGTCAAATGTTAAATAAGGACGAAATGATGCTTGCGAGCGTTGTGAGCGTTAAGTGGAACGCACCTTTAATATGTAATCTTTCCCATAAAGATACGAAAAATATAATTCCATGAAGATATGAAGGTATATATGGTTATTTATTTTAGGATATTTTAGGAGATACGTATCGTTTCATAAGGCATGAAAAGCAAACATATATTACATGTAGGAATCTTTCATGTAATCGTTTTTGACATTATACCATATCATTCTAAACTATTGTAGTAAATGTATTGAATTTATTACATGCGTGAAACACGATTATCCTACAATTGAATGTGTGACAGATCTAAAAAATGGATGCCTCTTTTAAGAAAATGATAGAAAATCATACATTATTGCAGGACGAATTATTAATTACTAAATTTTAAATGACATTGCTGAATCATGTATTTATAACATTAACACATGTCTTAAAAATGCTCACGTTATTAATGAGTTTACTAATGTGACTTAATTCGTACAAAAAATAGTATTTAAATTTAAAATGTCATTTTATTTGTAAAATTCAAATAGTAATTAAGCCTTGCAGGGGGGAGGGGGTTCCAGAAGATTCAATATAAAGTCCAAACAAAATCTTGAATTTTTTTTTATCGTATAAAATTAATCGCATTTGTTGCTTCACTTTCTTGCGTAGAATTTGAAAAATAAAATTTGGATTAATTGTGAATTTTGAAACGTGTCGAGTAAATTAATTATTCGTATAGTTGCAATATTAAAATGTTTATGTTTAAAAACGTTGCGATAAAATATCTTAACAACTAGTATGATATATTTGTGTTAATGCAATGTTGTATATTCACAAAAGACTTTGTTCCCAAAAGTAATTTTCAACAGCAAAATTCGTAGTTTTGCATTTTTTTATAAGTATAGGAAGAATATACAATATCTACAAGAACATTAAAGTTGTGGTAAGTGCATGCACCATATATTTTTTATTTTAAACAATATAATTGCGATTAATTTAAAATTAAAAGTCTTATTCATTATTAATTTAATAATTAATACTTGAAATTTAATAAATAATTATTGAATTCTAAAATTGATTATACATATATATTGGAAAGTTAATTTTGTTTCAAAGACACGTCAAAACGTTGATTTTTCAATAAAATCAAAACGCACAGAATATCAAATTATTACTATTATTAAATATTTGAGGTTATGAATTTGACAAATTGCTTCATAAATCTTATTGTAATCAATTTGAATACGCCGCGTTTAATATTCTCAGCAATGAAATGAAACCGACATCGTGACGTCATTGTGACGTCACGCAACTTAGAAACGCGGGCGACATGGCGTCACCTCGTCTCTCGTCTCCCCTTCGTCTTTCCTGACGTTATTTCGTGAAAAGAAGGTAGGTTCAACTTTGTATTTCGAGAAAATATATCTTTCGAACGAAACAGTCTTGAAAGTACATACGATTAATCGATAAGGGAATAAGGGAACTTCCGAGATGCTCGTAATAATTCAGGATTCAGTGAGTCTTGCGAAAGAGTACGAGCAGAGCTCCTCCGTTTCAGCTTTCCGCCAGCTTTCTACGGCTAAAAATCGTGAGATAGTAACATTCGATAAACCATGTAATCGATTTATTTTGAATAGCAAACACATGTGCTACGTATAAAGTTAAATGAATAAAATCTACCTTTCTCTGTAACAAATTTATCTTTTAACGTTTGTTATAAATTTATTATAGGTATTCCGAGTTCATCTCGCTGCGGAGGAAGGAGGGTCAACGCGTATAAAAGATGCACGCAACCGTATCGTCGGTTTATTTCGATTCAGTCAAGCTTACGGCGGGACGCTCCGCTCTCTCAAGGTGTGTGTGTGTACCGCAAATGCGCGTTCAAAGTTACAGAGAAGTCGGCCGCACCGCACATAACGTTACGCATTCTCGTCGAGTGAGCCATAATAATACTCGGGTTCCGACAATAAGCATGCTGAAATAAACGAAACAATTTCTTCACCAAAACGACATAGTACGATTTAATTATAACAAAATTCTACTCATTATATTTCACGCGTTTTAAATATGATTAGTTTATATAAATATCCTAATATGACACACATACATATGTATATACATATTAAAAAAAAAATATATATATATATATATTTTTTTTTTCTTATTGGAATATTTTAATTGATATCTTTAGTTTATCATATTTCCAATAGGAAAATAATGATTATTTAATGAGCCATGATGTAAAGGATTGGTATTATAATATATTATAATTAATATCATTATGAGTAATTGAATGGTACACTATAATTAATATTGATGATTTAAAATACAGTATAATAGATTCTCTCTTGAAAATAATATCTTTATTTTGATACATCGCAATCTTTAAGCTGTATATTTTTATTTTAATACATCGCAATTTTTTAAAGTAATAACTAGATATTAGTATAAGCTATAAGCACTATAGTGTATGTTTTAAAACGAATTAAATATTTATGAATGCCTTACGCATAAAAAATAGAATTGAACATATTATAATTAATTCTTCTATGAAATAAATAGTAAGTGACACTACTGATTAATTAATAAATTAATTGTAGTATATAAATTGATATTCCGTAATTTCACTGAATTAAACGCGATGGTAGATATTTTTACGTGAGATAAAAATAATTAACATATTTGTCATAATGATTAAATAATAATGACTAAATATAAAATAATTAAATTTTTATATTTATAGATATATTTATATTTATAGATATATGAAAGCTCTCTATATAAAAAAATTAAATCTAGATAAATTTGCAGGTGCAGCACCGGAGGATTCGGTTTGAGCCAAGCAGAATCAGCTTGAAGGTAGAGTTTACATTTATTTTAATACTTTACAATCAAAATTTAATAATTTTAAATATATATCTTTTAACATTATTGAGTAATTATATAAATTTTTAATATTTAATATACCTATGTAAATATATTAAAATCTCTCTTTCTTTCTTTTTTTTCTGCAAAAGTAATCAATATTAATTTAAGAATAATTATTATATTCGTTAATTATTTATATACTGCTTTTAACTTATTATTTAGTTGTTTCTAGTTTGCTATTGTAATTACTAAATTTTTACATATAAAAAATATATTTTGCTTACTTTAGGAAAAGACATATGTCTAATTAAAATCTAATTGGGCAACGTTACCATTTTTTTTAGGGATCTAGATGCGAGATGTGGTCGGTTTCAGTGTTGCCGATATTGGTGAGTAGAATTTAGGTACAGGTGATGGTTTCTTCTTGCTGAAATCATTATATCTGAAATCAGTGCGATTTATTTACGTATAGATTTTCATATGCAGATATATAAACTTGCATAAGAAACATTGAACGAGATAACAAAATGTTATTTAACAATAACTTAAGATATTGGTTTAAATTTTTTTAACAGTGCACGATTTTTGTTAAATAATATTTGCAACGAAGTTGCGAAATTGAGCTTTATATTATGAGATGAGGCGATCTTCGCAAAAATATTGCAAGGGCGGTGTTGTCATATAGATATTGCGAAGTAAGATAATGTTTGCAAAAATATTCCAGAGCAACGCGAGTATAAATTAAATTTATATTAAAAGTTCCAAATATTTCGTTTCACGACACGTAATGTATTTTAAATTTAATTTATAAACATTTTGCTATAAATTACTATTAAAAAATTTGTGCATTTTATGTCATAAATATTTTTTTTCTCCAAAAAATTCCTATGTTAAATCGTGAATTTCGCACCGCGAGTGCATTGTATGTCAAGTGGTATAAAGTGGAGTACGATGGACATATAGAACTTTTTAATCAAATTTATGAACTTTGTTTTATAAATATTTGTTTATTTAATTGACTGTTAAATTACAAAGTAATTAAAGTTGCAACTCCACAATTTTCGTGTCGCGAGTGTATTGTATAGAAGCGAAGTGAAGTGCAATCAACGTGGGATGACCACTACTACTACAACTACTATTAGACCATTTCCGGATGTACTTACAGCGGAAGATGCATCGATGGACGTCGAGGGACATTGCAAAATGATGAGTACCGTATTTCAATTAATTTCACATTTAGTTTTAGTCTGTTCTTTTCTAGTTATATTTTTCCCGCATTTTATTTTTTTATCACTTTATAATATCAAATATTAATAGAAAATTGATGCTTTATTTTTAATTATTTGGATCCAAAATATAAAATAATTTTCTTACTTTCTTTGTCATTTTTTCTAATAATTTAAATAAAACATTGTATAAGCAAAATTTATAGATATATAAATGTAAATGTATATACATATTATATACACAGAATATATATACAGAGTATTTTATATAAACTTTTCGGGAGTCTTCAAAAATATTATACATATAAGCAACTAAAAAGAACAGATTTTACTGCATGCGTGGTACTTGCAATATTCACAATAATCGCACTGATTTCTGATATCAACAATTCATGCTTTTTTCAAACCGATATTTTTTATGTCGTGGTAATGTTTACTTTTTATGTGTATATTTTTAAAAACTATGAAACATATACGTGTATGTAATGTACATGTATAATATGCATTATACTACATATATGTCAGAGAATTAAATATAAGATCATCTATAAATCTGCATCTCTCATTCTTTAAACAATTAATTGCGTCAAATGTAAATTATGTTGTTGTTACATCGCCCGGGAAGCGGAAAGGGAAAATTTCCCTTCCGATTGGCTCGTGATTCCGATCACGAGGCCATTCCGCGAAAATATCGTCTGTTCGTCGCACTATTTACACGTCGGGTTCTCAGTCGTAAATTGTAACGAGGCCCCGTCACGTAGCTCGTCGAATTTACTGACGATCGTGCCGCGACGGGTAAAGGGCGGCCTCGCCTTTTTAACGACGTACGATATCAGTACGGTGGCCCGTTAGTACGTCGCCTCCGATATTGTGACGCAGTATCGACCGTGCGGAACTCATCTCGCCAAGATGCCGTGTTATCTCAGCGGTGTAATCTTCGCGGCCCCGATCGGCATTGTATCTAGAAGCGGCGGGGCGAACTGTTCTCGACAAACTTTAATTAAATGAAATTTTAAGCTGAGTGTTGATACATTTCGTAATCCCTGCCAGTTTACACGATAAATTTAAATTTCAACGTAGTGAAATCTGGTCGTCCTAATACGGCCTCGTCCTCAAGCTTAAGTTTAGCTTGTGTAGCAACAGCATGATGTATTGCATTATTTTAGAGAGATATCTATGTCTTTTCTTTGAAAAAAGAAATGGGAAAAAATTCTCAAATTCTATTCCACAGACAGTCTAGTCGAAATTGATATGAATGAATAAGTTGCTTTTGTCGAATATCGATAAATTATTCTTTCTCTTACGATGTGAAAAAATTAATTATAAATAGGGCAATTAGGCAATTATATTATGATGTAGAGGTCATGTTAAAGATAAAAGCAATTACGAAGATCGATACTTACTTATTTAAACATAAAAAATCATGGAAGTATTTTTATAAACATTAAATCGAATCGAAAAATTGTGTCTATGACAAAAAAATAACGCTGTTAAACTATTTATTACAATTTAGACGTGTAATTCATGATAATTACAAATGAAGAAAATCACAAATTTTATAAATTGCGATAAACAACTTACTGGTAGATACCTTGTCATTCTGAAAAGTAGAAATAATAAAAAAAAAAAGGTAGTCTTGGGGATAGTCTCGGAGATGTTGATAGCAATGTTCCCATAAAATATCGATATCACCCGCAGTATTGGCAAGTAAGCATGAATGTGAAGATACGAAAACGGAAAGGGAAAGAGAAGAGGAAGGTTATATCTATATTTTCTAATTTATCGTAATATCATTGGGACTACCCCTATGCCCATATCCCGTATCCGGAGTATGCGTAAGAGACACGCGCGCGCGCGCGCGCGCGCGTCTTTACCCTCGTGGGCCGCGTGTCACCCCGGACCCTCGTTTTCTCTCCCTCGTCGTCGAAAAGGGTGGTCCACGGTGGCGCCGTGTCTGGTCAAAACGGGAACGAAAGCTTGCGCCGGAACCGCGCAGATCCTCTCCTCAGTAGTTGCCCAGACGCTGTCACGGGCGTAGCTGGATGCTGGATCGTCTCTCTCTCTCGCGCGCGCGCGTGCCGCAGGGAGGCGCTTCCTTTTCTTCTTCCTCTTCCTCCTAATCACGTCTCGCGTCGCCCTCGCCATCGGCGACGTCGCCGTTGCTTGTCGTCATCATCATCATCACCACCGTCGTCGTCGTCGTCCCCGATCGCGGCGTCGTCGCGCACATTGACACGGCCCGATCGTCGCCCCCGTGATCTAGGAGAAGGTGCCGTAGAAAAGGGAGGCCGACGACGAAAGGATTTTTCCTGCCGGCGTGACCGTGGAGGAGGGGGGGAGAGAGAGAGAGAGACAGGCAGACAGATAGAGATAGACCGAGATAGAGAGAAGGAGGGAGAGAGAAAGAGAGAGAGAGAGAGAAACGGACAGGTGGACCAAGACAGGAAAGGGGAGAAAGGTAGACGGAAGGAACGAAGGGATATAGAACAAGATAGAGACCGACCGACCGACCGGCCGCGGCGGAGGGAGGTGTTGCTCAAGAAGTGCTCTGTGTATGGTGCAGTGCGGTGCTGTGCTCGAGAGAGAGAATGGCGTGGACGGATTTCGCGTGTATCTCGCCGTGACGTGGGAAGGTAAGAGAGAGCGCCGCCTTACGCATTAATCCCTTCTCCTTCTCTTTCTTCTTTCCTCCCGACGTTTCGTTTCTTTCTCTTTCGTCACGTTGCTCCGAGCTCCGAGACGGTCCCCGGAGACTAGTTCGTTCCGTTCAGCAGGTTCAGCTTCTCATTGTCTCCAGTCGCGTCCGACCGGCGCGATCGACAACTCCAAATCTGCTTCGCGCTCCGCTTCCAAATCGGCTGTGATTTTCGCGACGCTCAAAAGGACGATCGTCCATCGGCTCGACCGGCACGTCGCGTCGCGTCGCGTCGCGACGCCGCGCCGCGCCGCGCGGTGCGTCCTGTCGCGTGCGCGTCTGACGCGACGCGTGCTGTTACCACTGATGGCTGTAAGCTCCGGCTGTAACAAGCGTCGGCCTCGCTAACAAACCACCTATAGCGATCGCGTTCGCGATAGGTCTGTCTAGGAGTTAATTCTCAAAAGAGCGGGTATTTCTCACAACGTGCCGCGCCACATGACAAAGAAACTATATTGCCGTACTTTCCACTGAAGATCGCTTCACTTGTAAGCGTTGACTTTAAGATTAACGTGAGGAATTTAGTGAAGCGAGAAATTTCGTCACATTGACACATTCGAAAGTGAAAAAAATACCAATTTCGCGAGAATGTCGCGATTTAAATTCAGTTTCCCTCGAATTTCGTTACGGATGATAACAATGTGATCTTGCGTACGATTAGCGTTAGTTTATCTTTGCTGTAAAAATAAATGTCATTTAATGCTTGTCGAAGAAATTAAAGTGTCGAATTAAATTGTTGTATGTATTATACTTGCATGGTGATTATACATTTCTTAGTTTTTGTAAAAATGTATATAAGATTACAAAACAACGCAGGATATTCGTTGCAATAGTACAGATAAAAATTTTAAGCTCTCTATATTTATTATTTATCTCTAAAGATCATGTACGTCACACCTTTTGACTTCTAAATGTGACGATAAAAAACGGTCGTAGAGTTCTTGCCTTGATGCATGATCGAAATAAAGGAAGTAGTGGGCATTTCCGCGAAATATAAATGCCTGACTATACGTCTTCGTATATCTCCGCGGCCTATAAGAAAATGTTTAATTTCGCGGATAAAATTTACGACTGGCGCACCCGCATAGTCAGCGAATTTCACCTTTGTTGTTAGCCTCTGGCGCGCGGAGTGTACGATAAAAAAAAAAGGAAAGAGTGCTTCGTTACCGTATTATTTATGAGGAAAGAACTTATTTATCTTGACGAGGGGTTGTTGGTAGGGGCTGAGAGAATAGGGCCGAGACTCAATAAACGAGAATACCTCGGTGTAAACGTGGCGTGTAGGCGAAGATCACACGTGACGCCAATCGATATCCTCTCGAGTATAATCTCTTTTGCGAATCTGACGTTCTTGTCTCTATTACGTGGTAAACACATTGCCTGATCGTACGGCACGAAGGAAATTGAGTTTAGAAATATTTATTCGCAGTATTTTTTCGTAGTTGACGGTTTGGAAATATATACGTCGATGTAATCGCATATATCGCAAAATTAAAGAGTTGAATTATAGGTTCGGTTTTTGCAAAAATAAATGCTTTTATTTATATTCGGTCCATTACACAGGATTTCCCATTTTAATCAGTTCATGCAAATATGATATGCAAAGTCGTAGAGTTTCAAGGGAAATATGTATATGTGTCACATAATATATGTGTATAGGTATGTATATCTATTTTATTGGCAGAGGTGTGCAAAGAGAGATTTTTCGTTACTTTTTTAAACAAAATTATATATTCTGTTTTTAATATAATATTGTAGCTTTAAAAAAGACAAACAATGACGAATATGAGTTGTATATTATTTTAGAAATTATAATGAAGATTACTGCGGGCTTGTTAATGAACCTGACCGCACAGAGAAATGTAAAATTCTGACACCTCTGTTTTGTAAATTTTGTACATATATTT